TATTTTTCTTACTGTGCCCTGAAATAATGTCTCCTTTTTTTTCCCCAAATGTAGCATTGTGAATAAAATCTCAGTGCTCTTTTTATTGATATTTATAATATAAAATCATACTCAGTGTCCAATAGTACAGGAATTGTAATATAGTTACAGAATGTAGGCAGGTGAAACACTGTGAAATTATAATAGCATTTTCTGGTATAGAAAAAGTGCAAAGAGTGTTTTTACCATCTGGAAGAACACTTCAGATTTGGACCTTGATACATCTCAATTCTGTTTCATTGATATCCTAACATTTTTGTTTAATGGGCTTGAAATTATTAGATAACCATAACTTCTATAGGGTTAAGCATGGCTTACTGTTAGTTTAATTTGTGCTGCTAACCTGTGATTGAAACTTGAAGAAACCCTTTTTGTTTCATGACCAAGAAAATAGTTTTCTTTTGTTTTCTGACCCAACACAGTCAATGTAAATTACTCATTACAGCACTGGTCGCTCTTCCAGCCTCAACTGTCCTTCTCTTACTGAAAGAACTTGTTCCCCAAAAGGAGGAATGCAGGCTCCCTGCAGGATGTTGAAGCAGGTTTCCTCCTCTGTAGGGTGAACCTACAGGGATTAATGAGTTTTAAAAGAGAAGCAAGGGGTTTGAGTAGAGTTTAGACAGTATTTTCCCATAACTTCAATTGAGAAGTGACTGAGGTAAGAAAGGAGGAAGAGGCAGGGACAGGAGTGGATTCCCTCCTATGAAAGGAAACCCCTGCTCAGAAAGCAGGTGACAAAGCCCTATATTTTGGTACGTGTGATCTCTCCTGTACCTTGAAGCAGACAGAGGTCTAAAGGAAAGAATTACATTTAATTGTGCAATTTGTGTCATTGTTGGTAATGGCAGAGGTGTAGAAACAACAAACTGAATTAAACACATGATCCCAAATTGCATTATTTTACATATTGAGACCCCCAATATTTTCCATACTGACACCCACAGCCTTCTCAGGAGGATGCTGTCCAAAGGAATGAAGTTGCTCCCCACAACATCCATACAGTTCAGGTCCCACTTCCACTCTCTCCTCTCCAAATTTTTATCTGCTGGCACTTCATTGGTTTTGGGCAAAACAGATACAATTCAGGGGGAATGAAGGAGGAGAACAAAACTGATTCTTATTTGATGGTAGATTTTTTTTAACAAGAAAGTGACTGAAGGGAGAGGCCTTTGGTCTCTCTTCACCAAAGAGAAATCTCATTTGAAATGAGATATGAAGGGGTGGAAGATTCCATGCATAAACAGCTATCAGGTGAACTTTGGTCATCAGCTGCCACAGGGTCTGAAGCTTCCTCACCATGAATGAGCATCCCATGAAAGCTGTTCAGTCCTGGAAACAGGAGACATTTCTTTGCCTACTTTCAGGAGTGTGAAACAAGAAATAGCACAATTAGAAAATGCACTAAAGGAAAAAAGCTTCAGCAACCCTACAGATCACCTATTTTGAAGTCAGACAGTTACAGATAATGGAAGTCAGCCTCAGAAAAAGAACTTTTCTAGAGAAAAGACACTTAGATCCAGTCATTGTTTAAAATACACATTTTCGCTCCTGTATGTAGCACATGAGAAAAAAATGATTCTGAAAAAGAGAAGCCAAAGGAATTTAGAATAAAATCATCTCACTCTGAATTAAAGAATGAACTTCCAATATTCAATAAAAAATTGAAAAGACCGAGAAGCTTATTGGACTAAATTAAATGAGGAGCTTACCACATTGTAGATGACTCATCGTAATTCAAGAAATTTACAGCAGTGTAGAAGAAAACAGATGGTGCAAAGAATCCTCTGTACAAAAAACAGATCAGTGCTGAGCTCAAGAGTCAGAAATCACCCTTCAGCCTAGGACCAATGGCAAGAAAATGCTGCCCTTAAAGTGATTAAAACTCATGCTGCTCTTCTAAGCATTTCTTTTTTCAAATGTTTTCACTGGATAACCATATTACAGTTCTTCTGCAGCTACTGGATTTGAAACAACTAATTAAAAGAACTTCCCATTGATTCATAGGGACATTAGAGCAGTCTTTAGGAATGGGAAAATAGGATTTACCTATCTTACAGTCTTCTGGTTAAAAAGAGCTTTAACAATAAATGGATAGGATCTCTAAGGTCTAATTGACTTCTGCTCTGGTGAGCAACAGTTATAAGGAGCTGAAATTTCTCCATAGGACTGAGTGCTCTTTAGTAGCTCTTCACAACAAAAGAAATAGAAACTCAGCTAGCTGTGCTTTTAATTACTTGGTTTTATTTGTCTGTTTCTTCCTACAATAAATTTCTGATTCTAATCTTATCTGGCTAAAGCAGGATCATCCTTCTGCATATACATAAATGGTCAATGGTGATTCTTTGGTGCCTTTTTGTTAGAAACTATACTGTTTTTTTGGGTTTTTTTACTTGATACAAACACAAATACATTTCTCATAGTCACAGCTTTATGTGCACATCTCTGCATTTGAATTTAGAGGGTTCAGTGCTGGCACAGTGCCACAGGTGTGATGTGAGCCTTGCTGTATGGGCTTGTTGGTTTCAAGTGCAGGTCAAGCACAAGTAGTTTAGGGGAGATCTAAAGCAATTTTGTTCCATTAATTTCTGACTGAGTTCTTCCCCAGGAAATTATATACTGAATTAGAGAATATAATTAATATTTATATACTTAATATACTGAAGTTTTGGGAGGATCTTCCAATGCACCATGACTGTGCTTTTGAAATGCACTTTGTCAGATGGAAGATTTACTGTCTTGAGCTCAGGCTGAAAACATGCATGAATTGCTGTATAAATTTAGAAGTTAGAAGACAAAGAAAAATCCCCAATCATGCAGTACATATGAAAAGCTTGTAAAGTTTAGGCTATCATTTGAAGACGTGTTATATCAGCAGTGTCTCTTTTATGAGTCTAAAAGAGCCAAGAATATAATTTTATCTACAGCTTAACCTGGTGTTTTCTGTCATCAATCTTAATAATTTTGCAAGGGTTGGGTTGTCTGACCAGTGAACTCTCAGATGCTGTGGGATGAAGCTGCAGTGTGCTGGGAAGGTGGCCCAGCTGATGCTCATCACCTCTAAGCAGACACACAGATGTATCTGACAGGTTTCTATAGCTCCCTCAGACCCACCTGTAAATCACAGCTTAATGCCAGTGAATGACTCAAAATAACAAATAGTAAAACTATTTACATGAGCAGCGCCTTTCTAGGCCTTTGATCAGTGTTTAGCAATTACAAATCCATGTTTGCTAGCTTCTGCCTTCCTTTAAACAGACCTGTCTTTGTATCTTGCTTGGAGAAGTTGATTGTACCCCAGAGAAATATTGTGAGAGCTCAACTTCACCCTCAGATTCAAGAGTAAAAATTTCATTTTAGCTGAGGGAGTAGTTATACATGCCCAGGGATAACATTTTGGTTCAAATCCTGTGCATGTTTGTTATTTATTAGTTGGTGGTTTATTCTGTTCAGTTATTTACATTATGCTGTTTAAGGGCTTCCTGGAAACCAGGTTAATCCTTTATTCTGCTTGGCAGGAAATTTTTTTTTCTCTGACACGCTTGCATCAGACCTGTGGTTAAAGTGGCAAAGGCGTAGAAGTTTCCTGTGTAAGCTCTTACACTTTGGTAGGGTTTTTTCTGGTGTTATGTGTTGAGTTGGGGTTTTTTTTTCACATCAGAGAGGACAAAACTATTATCCCACAGAACAGTTACCCAAAGGTAAGACTGGATGGAAGTTAATTTTCTGTCTCAGATAAATGCATTATCACAGAGAAAAATGCACGTCTCTGTATAGAGTTTCCCTTTTTCCAAAGACAAACACATGGTTTTGTTTTCTTCAGTGTTTGTTTGGATTCTAGAATTTATTGTTTTAACTTCTTAAGCCTCCTGAAATGTTTACAGGAAAGAAAACTAAGGTGTGAAATTTTGTGACTAGAAGCAGATTCTCTTTTCATTTTCCTAGGGAGTTTCTTTCATTCAAAAGATAAAACCAGAAGTCATAAAAATATGTTATTTTTAGGAGACAACTCCATGGAAACTTGGAAGAAATTAAGTAAGATTCAGAATAGAGATGAATGGGGGAGGGTATGTAATAAACTAATACATTTTAGTGGAAAACAAATAGTGAAATCTGTGAACCACTTATGGTAGCTGGATTGTTGATCTTAGTTGTGTTCAAGACTGTTGAATAATATGACTGGGTTTGCTGTAACATTTGCGAAAGCTGCACATAAATACTGTTAAAACCACATTACTGTCTGGAGAATATTTTTACATGCTTGACCAGATTAATAAAATAAGCAAAGATTGTTCTCTAGGATACAATCTTTGCACCATTTGAAATAATTTCATAGATAACTGTGCACCTTCTTTTCCAAAAAGGCAGAAAAACTGAATTTTAAAGTTGGTTAACCCCAGAGTGAGATAATTTGGCTCCTGGGTGCATCCATGGATGTTGGGCCCCTTCCAGAAGCTGCTTTTGCCCATACCCAATCCCTTCCAGGGGCTCCTGAAGGAGCTGGCTCTTGGTGCACACAGACACCCCACAAAGGGCTTGCCAGAAAAGGGATTCATTGCATCTATTTTGAGCTGGGTCACTTTATTTTACCCCAAAGAGTAAAGTGAATGTATATCCTAAACAGTTGAGTCATAACATTTAATGAGGATTAACCTGCATGCAGAATTTGCTGCCTCTGCAGTGTGGTTCTGCTCTGGACACGGTGTCCCTGTAGCCAGCAGTGCTGCCTGCTTGGGACAGGGTCCAGCCCAGGCATTTTTTCTGTATTTTTGCACAAAACCATTTTTCAGAAGCTGCTCTGCACTTCAGCAGGGAGTTACCAGCGTGTACTTGAGACATTCATCCCATGCTTTTCTGTCTGGAGGTCACTCCAAGTTGCCTCGGGTTGATATCCTCAGGCAGGAGGTTGGAAGGATAAACCGTGTGCTTCGTCTTTAACCCTTAGTTATCCTTTTCCCTTTCAGCACCCACCTTGATAGGTATGGTAAGGAAGGACTGGGCTTCCCAAAACAGCATTGCCCTCTCCTGGCAAGAGCCGGACTTTCCCCATGGAGCAATTCTGGACTACGAGATCAAGTACTATGAGAAAGTAGGTCTCACTTACAGCATCACCCACACTCAGATCCTAAAGAGCAATGTGTTTTGTATCTTTAATAATATTTTTAAAACACTTTTCACTTGACCCCACATACAATGCTGTGTATGTCAGACGTTTTATTTTGTGCTGATTTTTGTTGTTTTGCTTCTAACTTGTTCATGACTGTCTTGTTTCACACCAGTATTGAGTAGAGCAGCGAGCAGATTGTACATTTACTCATCTCATAGTAACCACATTTACAAAGGATAAATGCTTTAACATATTTTGATTTATGGACTTTAAAAACTTCCTATTAGAGTGACACTGACGAAACAGAATTAAAATGAATGGGAACGTGATTTGATTTTGAGGCAAAATCTGTATTTATTTATTATTGCTAAATAAAGCAATAATATATGCTTAAAGGATAGAGTGTACCAGCCTTGTTTAGAGGGTTACAAAAGGTTACAAGAGAGAGAAACTGTCATATTTCTGTTGCTCTGTTAAAATTAGGCAACTTCACACAGAAGAGAGCTACAACATGCATTACAAGTAAATGTACAAGGTGTATATACAGCATGTGTTGGGAAGGTGTAATTTGAAGCCTCTTTCTCCATAAATACAAAACATATTGGGTCACTTCCAGTTGCTATAGAGCCTGGTGCCAGTAAAATTTCTGTGCTGGCCAGTGCCTTCAAGCCTGAAGATATAGAGAGGAAGTTTTTGGTATCTGTACCTTAAGAGTTCTTAAGTCAGTTCTTGCTGCTTCTCTGCCCCCATCTGAAGTCACAGTGGAACTGATGTGCATGTATGAAGCTCACAAAGAGCAGAAATACAAACCAAGTCGTGAAAGAAAGTATTAGGGATATTAGGCTCTGTAAATACCTGAGAATTTTATTCCTTGACTGCACTTCTCTGTTGAGATTATGCAGCCTTAATGATGCAGAAGAAAGGGTAAACTGGGAAAAAAATCCAAACCATTTAAATAGAACAGGTAGAAAGAGAAGATGGATTGCTTAGAATATTTGGTAAGCCTATTTTCCTACACTAATGGACGTCCTTCAGGTTCTGATCCATTATCATAGTAAGCCCCATTATGACTTAAACTTCTTTTCTTCATTGATACTAAAAAGGTGAATTAAACACGACAAATTGTGAGATTCTATTCAGTTGAATTGGAATATTTACAAAGACCTGTAGCAGTTTGTAAGGATGTTAAATTATAAATCTCAGATATGCATTTAATAAAATCCTTTCTCAATGGATTATGAGCCAATACCAGTCAGTGCTGAGTGACAAGGCAAATAATTTTTCTTAGAGGTCTACTTACTCCTTAGCCTTAATCATTGTTCAGCAAGACTACACGCACAGGCTTTAAAACTCTTTGTTAGATAAAAGTTTAAACCACTCTTACCTGTTTTTACAAAAAAAAAAAAAGAGAACAATTTTCTCTGTCCAGCTTTTAAAATATATAAGGAGCATCTTCTATCTATAAACTCTTTCCTCTGAGGTCAGAGGAAATAAATGCACTGCTGGCATCTTCCAGTGCTGTGGCACAGGTGTAATTTGCAAGACCTCTCTTGGAGACCAGATTCTAGATCAAAGAGATTAATAATCCAATACTGCAAGTCAGTCTGCTTATTTACAGCATTAAATTGGAAAATGTTATTTCACACCACTTTCATAATATTTAAATCTTGCTTTAATCATATTTAAATCAAGAAGCATGCATTACAACACTGGCTAAGCGTAGTGGCCAAATATTGAAAAAGAAAAAGGAAAGCTTCCTACCTCAAAGGTAGAAAATATTAATATGCACAATTAATTTAAGTTCCAATTATTTTTTTTCTTCTTTACTGTGGAGATCTGTATATTAAAAAGCACAGTTTGTGTTATGACAGAGCTAGATGTAACCAGTGACACTGTAATCTCTCAGCCTTCCCAGGAACTCTGAAACAGGGGAATATCAGCATTCCTGTTCTCGGCAGAAGTGACAATATAGGGATGTTGTTGCATGCTCACAGGAAATATGATAAGACTGAAATCATTTTCTACTGGATGTAGTGTGAATTTATCACAAAGACATCCCTCTAACAGAGAGCAAAAAATGCAGGTAAAGAAGAACATGTTAAATATGAAAAGGTCAGAAATTTTATTAATGTCTTAGGGAGTCAAGAAAAAGGCAGAAAACAGTAGTCTTAGCTACTAATAAACACACTAGGTAGAAAAATGGAACAACTTTTGCAGTCCATCTTTATCCCTTTCTAGCTGTTATTTGCATTTAATAAAGAAAGGGTTTGTTCTGATAAATAAATTTAATGTCTCCATCAAATACAACCACTCAATCCCTCAAATTCAGCTGATTATATCAGTTTCTTGACTTCTTGAAGCTCTGAAGAATTATGCAATATTCTAAACTTCTACAAGTATTACTGCTATTTTTTTTTTAATTCCTTGTTGACATTTGAAAAATTGTCAGTACCCCATTAGTGAGCATATTAGGGGGAGCAGCCTGCTTTTAATTATCACCAGTAGCTCACAAAGTCTGTGGCTCACAAATGGAAGTTGTATCTTGTCATGAGCTCTCAGCGTTTCCTGGAAGATATGTAAACTTTAGAAATCAAATAGCTGCCCAAAGAACTGTAAGCACTCCACAAAATGGGGCAGTTTCCAACAACTTCATAAGGAAGACAAATTAATGATGATGAGCATGGAACATAAAGATGCATCTTTCCATGTATTTCCAGAAGAAGCACAAGAAGGGAAAGAGGCTACACTGTGCCAATTATGCAAGAAACTTATATTTATACTCTTGTAAAATACAAGTTATTCACAGAGAACTATCAAAAGATCATGTCCTCTCTGTGAAAAATACTCCTCTGAGATAGACTATCAAGTTATAAAGAAATAAAGTAGAGAAGGAGAGTTATCCAGAGGTCTCAGTAAGTTACAAATAGGGATTCATACATTGATTTCAAAGTACAATAAAGCAGTGCAGTAATTTTTCTGCTTTAAAGTACCTTTTCCTATATGACCTTCATTTCTCCAGGGAATTGCTGTAAAACACTCAAAACTTCACGAAATATTGTCTCTAAAAATGAAAATCTTGTGCCAATAACAAAATTTCATCACAAGCCAGTTGTACAGATTTGTAGCTTCTTATTTAGGAGTGCACTGGTACATTTTTATGTGGTTGTCTGAGATGGGGTCATTTTGTTCTGCAGCCTTTCAGCCAAAAATGCAGTGAACAAAATCTGACCTAGGACATAATTGGAGAGCTGGTTTGGCCTAGGAGAACAAAAATTCCTCAACGTTCAGTCCAAGAGTCTCCGAGTTCTGTCCCAGCAAAGAGAAAGGGTTTTCCACTGTTTGAATAGTTGTGTGATATAACCAGGTAGAGAATATTATAATCCTGAAATAATTGCCTTGCTGAGGCTTGGTAGTTGAAATACCTGATTTCAGGTAGATTATGAATCATTCTGGTCTATGCCTTGGATAATAAGTGAGTCTTTACAGCAACGCACAGAAGATCAGTTAAAAGTTTGCCCTTGAAAATCTAAGACATGCTCATAAAAGCATTTCTTCATAGACATTTTTTGGGGTCTTGAGACCCCAAACATTGCAAATTATCTCTGTTGATACAGGGTGTCTGCCCTATTATGCACCCTCTCTATTATATCATGATCCCTTGATATCATCCACAAACACTATTTCTAAGAGAAAAAAACTCTCTCGTGGGCCATATTGCCTTTCCCTTTAAAAATCAAACTTATTAATATAATCTCAGTACCATTGCTAATCGAAATTAATTTTTCTCTTATACTTTAAACTATTGCTCAGACACTGACCAAAGTTTTCAAGATTTGCAAGATTCCAGGGCATCATAATCTCTTTACCTTTCATTCAAAGGGTTTTATATTTGAGGCAGATGCAGGAGTGGGGCCTTGTTAGAGCCTTGTAGTGACACTGAGTCCTTCTGTAGGAATTCCCCCATGGGAAAGGGAACACAGCACACAGTGGATATAAACCTCACCAGCTGCACTCCAGGTTGTGCAGCTGAACTGGAAAACACTTATTCCTCCCCTTTCCATCCAAACCCAGAAAGTTAATCATCAAAAATTAATGTTCCTAAAGACTTGTATTAGGCATACCAAGCTATATTAAGTTGGTTTTTGTTCTCCCACGTGGCCCAAGCACACCAGCTGGATTACATTTCCTGTTACACACAAGATAACATATAATTAGCTGAGGAAGTCTGTCTGTAAAAAAGGGATTTTAATGGAACGTTCCCAAGCAGTAACCCAAGGCATTGCAGCGAAATCTCTAAATGGAGAAACCAGAGAATATCTTTTGAATTGGGATTTGGAGGAGAGGGCTAATATTTCTTTGCTTTCTTGTCTTTTGATGAAATTTAAAGCCAAATCCCTTTGCCAAACAATTTCATTTTGTGGGGAGACCAAATTTGCAGCTCACAGGCAGTTTTCACATTAAAAAATTAACCCACCTCCATAGGACAGTGAGTGGACAGGATATGTAGGATGTCAGCTATTACTTTTCCTTCATCTCAGTATTATTTAGAGTTGAATTAATAAATAGAAGTGAGAGAATATCTGAGCAGTAGAGGCAAGGGGGAAATTAGTTTTCCAATGAGATTTGAAAAAGAGATGAAGAGCTGATGAGGGAGAGAGATAGAGGAAAGTACCAGATTTGAAGAATTAGAAAGCTGCATGACCTTGTTATTTTTTCTATCAGTCTACAGCTGTCTTCACTTAACTTATACAAGAAATGATGCTCAGTCCTAAAATCTAATATTAAACCAAAGACTGCTATTTCTTTGAGTAATCATTAATATGAATTAAAATGAGGCATCCTGAATTTGAGTGACAGACCTTTAAGTAAATTACATGATAGGAATAATGAGAAATTTCTCAGTGAATAATGTTTTGAATGACAGAATTATTTTTGTAAGAATTAATGTAGAAAATTATAAACACTATGAGACTCATCCTAGT